GTGTTATCATCTAAGGAGTTGCCTAGCAGGCACCAGAGGGAGAAAGATCGATCTTTGTAGTTGAGCAGGAATTTCTGCTATTGGGGAGAGCTGGGTAACCACATGACAAGGATGCAGAGTGCACAGTAAAGAAGAGGGGGAGCAACAAAATGGGCAGAGAAAATTTTATGTTTAAATTTTTCTTGTCTTACCTTAACATACAAAGTTTTATTTCATCACCCAAAACATTTTACAGTAGCACTTTATTTATTTGATGACTTGAGGTTGTGCTGAGGTACCAGAGGCGTGAACTGGTGGATTCTATGTTTTTGTCATATGGGAGGTATGAACTCAGCACCAAAAAAGTGTGTCCTTTGGCACCTTTCTAGTTTCCTTTAAAAGAATCTAAAAATGACATGTTTTTTGGCCTGTTCCCTCACCATTCTCCCGGCAGGCCTTTTTCTATGTGCAGAGGCTTTAAAGTGATCAAAATCAACCAGAATTCTTCCCCTTCCAGAGCATACATTCAGATAAGTAAGCCTTAGAATAGCGCTTTATGCCAATGAGCACATTTTATCCCTGCCAGAATTTGCAGTCATGCATTTGTTTATTGCTGAGTAGAATGTACTAATTCTTGATAGGCTGTCCCTCCTAAAATCGAACACATGGTTTCATAATTTTATATGTAGTGGTGGCGGGGGGGATAAATATGGGCAAGAGAATAAAAATCTTTAGCCTTCCTCAATTCCTTAAAGGAATCTCTGACCTAACCTTCCTATTAAGAACCACTCCCCCCTTACTAAATTGTGAGCTCCTTAAGTACAGGCATCAATTGTACATTGTCATTATTTTTTTCCTTATTTCTTTTAAGACATATGATTGCATAAAGCGTGAATAACACAGTTGTTATGTGGGTTCATAATGTATTAGGACAGAAAAGTAGCGCAGTGGATGAGGGTAATGTTAAGTGGAACTGTCCTCTCATAAGTTTCCTTTATTTTACTTAAAGTATTTTGGTATTAATTCTAAGCACCTTGTGTGTGTATTGAAATCCCTAGAGCAAACACAAGAAAAAATGAGATATTGCTTTAAAAATGCCATTGAACGAATTAAGATGAAATACTGAAAAGTATTTGTTTAATGCAAAAGGAAATAAGAAAGCAGGAGCAAAGAACAAAAAACAGTTGAGATAGAACCAAACAGCAGAATTCATCTGTATCAAGGTAAATATATTAAGTGTGAGCAGGGAAACATGCTAATCAAAAGGCAGAGATTGTCAGACTGGATTTAAAAGTGAGAAACTGCCGTGTGCTGTCCACAAGGCACGCTTTAAATGTAGACACACACACACAAAAGGTTGACAGTAAAAGGATAAAGAAAGATTAACATGGAAATAGACATCTGAAGTGGCCATATTAATCTAAGACAAAATAGGCTTTTTTTGTGAATATTACTGAAAACAAAGAAGGAGACTTTATTGTGATAAAAGGGTCAGTGTATGTGAGACTGATAACAGCTTCCACATACACGAACATGTTCCAAATACTCAGGGTTAGAACTATGGGCAAATGGATAAATTCACATCACAGTTGGATACTTTGAGACCAAAAGAAAAGTTAAATTTTTTACTTAATTCAAATCTCAGAATTCTGATTCGTTCAGATTTTTTTCACAGTTCGTGATATTTATGACAACATTTTGCTGTCTTCAGCTGAATCACTGTGCTTTCGCTGTTGCACAATTCCATTTTCCATCTTCTTTTTTACTCAGACCTTCAGAAAAGGAATCCTTACTTCCTTGCCCCCTCCATGTGACTTTTAGCCTACTGTAGCTTTTAAATTATGAAGTAGATGAATGTATGTTTTCTTTATAATCTAAGTTTTATGTTTCTTACTTAAAAATCCTTTTTCATCCCAGTGCCAAAAAGATGTTCCTTCTATATTTGCGCAGAAAGATGTGCAGTTTCGTAAATTACATTTGTGTCCTTAAACCCACTGGGAGGTTTTGTGTGGTTATCAGGCAGAGGGAGCTGGTTTGACTTCTTCCCTCTGTGTGGCCCGTGTATTCTTTTCGTGTGTGACATACCCATGTCTGCTGTGTACCAGGTGCCTTGTAATCCCTTGCTATTTACATCAGTTTGAGATGCTCTAGATAAAGACCTGGGGATTCCCAGGTGGCACTAGTGGTTAAGAACCCACCTGCCAGTGCAGGAGACCAAAGAGACGCAGCTTCAGTCCCTGAGTCGGAAAGATCCCCTGGAGAAGGGCACAGCTCCAGTATTCTTGCCTGGAGAATCCCATGGACAGAGGAGTCTGGCGGGGTACAGATCATAGGGTCACAGAGTTGGACACGACTGAAGCGACTTAACACATAAAGACCACCCTGTTTTGCTTACTCAAACTTTATAGCATACTGTATAATCTGATAGGCCTCAGTATGCTTCCCCGAAATTACCTCATCTATCCTGTACCCTTTATTCTTTATTTTTAAATCATTTTATTGTGATACATAACACACACCAAAGTGTCCATAAACTCTTTAAGTGTCATGAAGCCAAACAAATCATGATGAAGCGAGCGTGTATGGATTTATTGGCTGGGAAGTGCATCTAGTCAGGCCTACATCCTGCTGAAAGATTACCGGTAATCAAAAAGGGCAGAATCTCAAGTTCATTTTAGTGCTTCACTTTTTACATGAAGGTGCAGGAATCTGAGGTCATTGAAAGTGCTTCCTGAGCTGTGCATCTGACCATCTAGGGACCTGTTTATCTGAAGCAAAGGGTGCCTCCTCCTGTGTTTTCATCCTGAACTTTCCCCAGGGTGCGCCGTCAGTGGATGACTGCCATGGGCTGTGACTTCACCCCTGTGTAATGAGCTGTTTTGTTCTTTTTTTTTGTTCATGCTTTTAAGGATTTCTTTCTCTGACTCTTATGGAGCTAGATGTACATTTCATTTTATTATCTTTCTTGGGACTCTTGCACTTTCAGTTTGAGTATTTGTATTCTTTGTTCATTCTGGAAAACTCGGTTATTATCTCCTGAAACAAAGTCGTCTTCTTCATACATTTCCTCAGTGGTCTTCTTTTGGAAGCTCCGAGGATGTCCACGGAGGGCCTCTGTGTCTGTCTGGAAGCCCCACCATATGAAGCCCAGGTGTCCCCTGAGGGCCTGCCCTGCTGAGCCCTCGCCTCCTCCCTGCAGAGGAGACGGGTTGCTTCTCGCACTGAGTCCTCTGATCCTCCCCTTCACTCCCACCTTCCTCTCTCATCCATCCGGGGCCCCTCTCCCACCTGTGGATTTACCCTTCCTCGCAACTGCTAAGTGCGTTTTCCATTTTGTTAGTGTGGTTGAGGATTACAGATGTTCTCTCGTTGCACTGAATCTGAAGCTTGTTTCTGTTTTCGTTTTCTTTGTTATTTTGTACAATTCACGAAGGAAGTAGCATGGAAATTATTGAAATCAAAAGTCCTTTTCCATTCGCCCTTTAGCCTCCTCCAGTCTGTCTGTTGCTCCTACCACTGCACCAAAGTTGGTTAGTTTTGCCAAATCCAGTAGTCATTTTCCTCTCTCTGTCTTACGTGAACTCTGAGCTGCATTAGACATAGCTAGCTTCAGCAGTACTAAACTCTCCTAGTTTTCCTTCTTACTTGCAGCCCCTTCTCAGATTGCTTCACCGGCTTCTCCTCCTCTGTCCTTCCACAAAGTACTGGCGTACCCCAGGTTCAGTCCAAAGTCCTCTTCTCTCCTCGGTAGTATGCCCTCACCCTCCTATTATGTCTTCTAGTTCTCATGCTTTAAATGCAGTCTGATACCACTGACTCACAAATCTTTCTCTCTGCTAACTTTTCCCTTGAGTTCCAGAATTTTATAGCCAATAACCCACTTGACAGCTCCACCAGGATTTCTCATAGATACTCCTGAGTTCATTCTTGCATTGCCTTTGCCATTTTCTCTGCCTGAAAGGTTTTCCTCCAGTTCATCAAATCACTAGGACCTCATTATCCTTAAGAACTCTGCTCAAGTGTTACTTCCACCTGAGCAAAGAAGGTCCCTGCTTCAAGTCGCCTTACTGTAATTCCTTCATAGATCTTGTCCAGAATCGTTTTATGTGTTTGCTTGTTTATTGTCTGCTCTCTGTGTTGACCATGACTGTCAGAGTAGGGCTTTATGTCTTCTGCTCTATTTTAAGTGCCTAGAACAGCACTGGTATGTAGCAAATTCTCGTAGATTTTTGCCTAATTAGGTAATTTTATTAATAGAATATTAAAATATACTTTTCTCTTATTAGAAAGTTATCAAACTTGCTCTAATTTGATATGAATAACTTCTTATCCTAAGAATCAGATTCACAGAATTGAAGATTTCTAACAAAGGAATAGCCATTCTCACGTTTACCTGGAAAACCACAGGGACTCTAGATTCCTTACCATGTAAATTGCCTTAAAGATGAAAAATAGGAAGCAGAACTGTGCATTGTTAACTATTTGCAAGGATTTCTAAATCTAGGAAAAATCCATACTTGATAAATTTATTAAAATACTATATAAATTTTAGGTCATCTTTATTTTTTGATAAAGGCGTGTCTGGGTCACATCACTGACTATCAGGGTTGTTTTATGCCAGTATCTCTCTCTAATGGCCATCTGCCAATAAAAGTAACCACAGAATTAGTACAGTGTGAAAGTGTCTTGATAATCAGATATTTTATGGCTTTTTTTTTTTTAAGACAACATGGTTTTTAAGTATGCTGCCAGTACTTTCAAGTGTTAAATAGGATTTTGCTGTCTCTTCTAACTTACTAAAAACACATTTGTTTACTGAGGAGATTCAGTTTTTTGTTGGTGTGGTTTGTCCTGCTTAGTATCCTGCAACTTGGTAGGCATTCTGGTTTTCACCTCACCCTACGAAAGTGAAGGAAAAAACACCACCTGAAGTATTTCATGGTCACTAATTTCTGTGTCAGGTGTGTTCCCTGAAAACTTCACGACCTGTCAACAATGCGGTTGGTCTCGTTCTCTTCTAGGTTTCTGGGATCTGCTACAACAGCAGGATGCTGCAAGTCCACGAGGTGCTGTATGTGCCCAGTTGGATGGCCAAGTTCTGCGCTTGGACCCTGGAGCCCCTGTTCTCATCCTCGGAGCCCACCAGCGAGGCCAGGGTCGGGATGGGGGCCACCGTGGACATTCAGAGGCAGCAGAGGATGGAGCTGCTGGACAGGCAGCTGATGCTGTCACAGTTTGCACAAGTGAGGCGGCAGAGACAGCAGCAGGTAAATGATAACAATCACAATCGAAAGTTGGGAAGGACTCAGGGGCCTGCCTGAACATCTCCTCTGAGACTGTACACATCGAGACCATGTGTCATTCCTCTGCGTTGCATCGTGGATATCTTGGCACGTTTCCAAGGTCCCTGATCGTGGCTATTCTTAGTGTTTTCTTTGAAAGGTAAAAAAATAAGTAACTTGCCACTGAAAGACTGGTCAAACTGGAAATTGTCGCTCCGCTTCCAATAGATAAGCATGATTTCTTAGAGAAACACCAACCTAGTTAACAAGACGGAATATTTATCTGTTTTTATCATCTTGTAAAAGCCACAGTGTCTTCCTGTTAAAATGCTTATTATTGTATGCTCTGGAGTAAAGAGCAGATATCAAACTTCTTGATTTTCCTGGTTGAAATGGAGAGACTATGAAGGTAATAGAAGTTCAAGGGAATAGCCAACAAGTTGGTCAGATAAGCGCTGGGTTTTCTCAGCCTTGTCATTAATCATCAGGAAATACTGAGCATTTATCCACAAAAACGTCTCCATCCGAACAGTGTGATACCACACTGGTGTTCCCAGGGTTACTCTCAATCAAGCTGATCCTTCTTGGGCACTTCTGTGATCCAGCACCCTGCGCTTGTCATTTCCCGTCTCTATCCCCTTTACCCTCTGGGGTATGAGAGTGTTCTCTCCCACATCACCTGCCTGCATTGCGTGTGAGAAGTCGGTCTTCATTGCATGTGGTCTGGAAAGTGATGTCAGGTGTGACGTCCCTGGACGTCAGTGGAGAGCCAGGTCCCAGAATTTCCATCTGGGGTGGGGAGAAGGGGGCCCCTTATCAGTGGGCCAGGTCTGCAGGTGAGAGAGAGGGAAGTGAAGGCTGGTCCCTGCAGGTATGTTTGAATTTGAGGTGACTCTGGAATGTACAGTAAAGGAAGTTGACGTGTGGGGAGACAGACGCAGCTCCTGGAGAGATCAGGGCTGCAGGTGCGGCTCCTAGAGTCCTTGTGTAGGGTTGGGAGGTGAATCCAACAGGTCAGGGGTCCCCACCTCCGGGATCTCATGCCTGATGATCTGAGGTGTAGCCAATGTAATAATAATAGAAAGTGCACAGCGAATGGAATGTGCTGGAACCATCACCTCCACCCCGAATTTGTCTTCCGTGAAATCAGTCCCTGGTGCCAACAAGGTTGGGGACCACTGCGGAGGATTACACTCTGGATGAGCGTAGGTCGTAGGCTCAGCCTGTATTTAGCGGGAGGAAGAGGGGAGAGCCTTTGAGGAAATGGATGGAAGAATAATAAGTATGAGGACTCAGAATAATCAGCGTCCAAAGTGATAATGAGTATAAATATTTTCCAATAGTGCGGACAGAGCTGAGAGGGAGAGCAAGTAGCAGTGTGTGATCTGAGATTGCTGGCTCAGCTAAGGAGAGATTCGATGGCAGCACCATCCCATCAGCACAGAAGAGCAGAGCAGGAGAAGTACGTTGACCGGGGTGCCCGTGGGTTGCCTGAGAGGGGGTTCCCCAGTAGGCAGCTGTGGTCTTATGCTCATGAACAAAACAGGAGGTCATGTTTCTGAAGTTGGGGTTCCCAGCAGATTCTCACGCATGGAGTTGATCAGAGAACGCTGTCGGGATGAGCACAGCCTTGGGGAAGCAGTGGTGAAGGACAGAGGGGGACTTTGAGCACCAGTCACAAGGAAGGTCCGAGAGCTAACCTTATGGCGCGTGAGCCCTGGCGTTGATAGAGTGGCTGCCAGGTGTCTCCAGTCTGGACAGACGCAGGTGCGGACTGCGGGTCTTGAGAGCTACACGCCATCCACAGAGCAGTGTCCCTTGAGAACTGTCACCCCCCACAGCAGGAAGCCTGAGCGCCAGTCCTGCTGGAGGAGGGACCCGAGCACCGCCCCTCACACTGCTGGGAGCTGCTTGTTTCACTCAGGTTCCCGGAGCAGCTCCTCCAGGGTGGCAGGGGTGCTCTTCCCAAGGGAAACCTTAAGCGGAAGGTCCGCAGGACAGACCGCCTCCCCTTCTGCCACAGCCAGCCTTGAGGCCACCCTGGTGACCAGCCGCCTCCTCTGTGGTCCGCTTGAGAATCCTGGCCCTGCCTGGAAGGCGACTTGATGAAGAGACAGGTGTGCTCAGCCCTGTGGGGTCTGGTTCCCCGGTCCCCGTGTCCTTCCTGGGCTACGTCTGCCACATGCGTGCCCGCCAGAGCACGGGCGAGGAGGTTGAGGAGGCGCCTTCGCAGGGCTGCGGGATGCCCGAGCAGCCCACAGGGTCCCCCCGCCTGGTGTGCCCGTCTCTGAGCTTCCTTCCCCTAGCGGTCAGGGTTAGTTACTCCTGCAGGCTAATGGCTCCTCCCCTTGCCCCTTTGATGGTCGGGAGCGCCCAAACTGACGGCGCCATAGTGGTCACTTAAGACGTACCGGTGTTCTTGCTTTGTCCCCACTGGACGCTCCCTTCCGGTGAGCCGGGATCTGTACACAGGGAGTCCAGAGTCCCAGGACAGGGAACACAGACGCCCCGAGTAGGTCACCAGGATGGCGGATCGTCAGGGCCCCTCTCCTCCCACCCCTGGTTGCCAGAAGCCGTGTGCTCCATCTCCGTGTCCTCCGCCTGTTGATTTGGGCTGTTCTGCACCCTGGAGCCCCAAGCGCCATCCTTGCCAGGTACCACCTGCAAGTTGGCATCTCTCTTGCCTCACCTGGCTGCCCATCTGTCTGGTCATCTGTGAGAGGGTTGGTGTGCCCCGTGGTCTGGGCACTGCCCCGCTCTTCCGGCTGGGAGCGGACCTGTGGCCTGAGAGACGTCATCTGGCACTCTGGTCAGCCCCTCACACAGCCCACCAGCCCACAGGGAGCGGTGCCATGTGACAGAGAAGGCAGGTGGCCCTGAGACCAGAAAACGTGTCACTTGTGGTAAAATGAACTAACTGCCTGTGTCAGCCAGCTCAGGTTGCCCCAGGAGAACACTACGGGCTAGGTAGCTTAAACAGCAGAAGTTTTCCTCAGTGCTCTGGAGGCTGGAGGTCCAAGATCAAGACACCGTCGGGGTTGGTTTCTGGCGGGACTCTCCTTGGCTCTCGCTGTGTGTCTCGTGGCCTTTCCTTGGTGCCTGCGTGTTCCTGGTGTCTCTTCTTCCAAGGACGCCAGTCCTGTTGGATTAGGTCCCATCTTTATGACCTCATTGAACCTTAATTACATCTTAGAAAGGCTTCCCAGGTGGCCCCAGTGGTAAAGAGCCTGCTTTCCAATGCTGGAGACACAAGGGACCTGGGTTTGATCCCTGGGTCGGGAAGATCCCCTGGAGAAGGAAGTGGCAACCCACTCCAGTATTCTTGCCTGGGAAATCCCCATGGACAGAGGAGCCTGGCAGGCTACAGTCTGTGGAGTTGCAAAGAGTCAGACATGACTGAGCACATGTGTGCTCTTTAAAGGCCTTGTGTACGAGTATGGTTGCTTTGGGGGATCAGAGACTTCAGCCTATGAATTTTGGGGTGGTGGGGTACATGTTTCAGTCTACAGCAGCGCCCTTTCCTGAGTAGTGAGGGCCCCGCAGACTCACCCTGGCTCTCAGGCACGGTCCGTTCTCCTGGACGGGTGGTGGAGTGTCCAGGCTTAGCACTGCTCTCGCTTACCATCAGAAGCAAAGTCCACCTTGGAGAGCAGGGCCCACGCACAGCCTCCATCCACCTCAACAGCACTGTTCACGTACCAGCCCCAGGGTGACTGGTGATGGGCTGGCCAACGGCCATCTGCCGAGTCATTCTGTTCCCCCTCTTCTGTGCTGGACGACCATGGTTAGCTTGGGGGCCTGGATGTCACACTGCCTGCCTGTTCCTGGATGTCACACCACATGCCTCTCCCCAGACCACCTTGTCCCCTACCTTTCCCGTCCCCTGGCCACCCAAGCGAGCCCTTCACCACGTCCGGTGAGTCCATAGATGTTATTCCTTCAGGCCACCACTCTTTCCACGCAAAGTACACAACCAAATGCACTAGCCAGGGTCTCCCCGCTGGGAACACTTGTCCCTGGCCCTGTCTTTTCAGAGTGACCCCCAGCTGGAGCTGTAGTGCAGCCCCAGTGCATTTTCAGCTTTTACTTGTGTATCGAGCTAACCCATGTACTGAATTTGGTCACTTGGTCCTAGGAACCCAACCCAGTGTTGCAGGAGGTGTGAACTGGGGCAGAGGTTTTTTGCGACAAGGGTGATGGACACAGTGGTCCAGGCGAACTTGCCTCCGCAGCCCCACAGCACCCCCAGCATGGCTCCTCCTCACCCTGCATACACCACTTCCGTGGGGCAGTGGGTTTCTTTAGCCCCACCTGACACTAGAACTTGGTAGGTCTCGCACTTCTGACCACACGCTCGCTCCGTACCCGTGGTCAGGCACTTCCTACCCCAAAGGGTCCAGCAGCAGCGTTTCGTGGAGTTTGTGTAATTCTCCGCTGCGTGTGCACGCCCTGGCCCCAGTGCCCGAGGCGTCCGCACCACCGTTGTCCCCTGTGGCTGGCTGTGGACTCCACCTGGGGTCTTCCCCCACCACAGATGCTCTGAACACCGTAGCATCTGCTGGGTCACACAGCCCAAGCACCCATGACTAAACCAGCCCCGGGTCCCCGCCCTCCTTAAAGGGCTTTCCAGCGGGCAGCCATGAAGTGGTGCCCTTTGGTCTGTGGCTCCGCCCGCCGCTGGGCAGGCTCCCCCACTTTCCGAGGTCGGTCTCACCCCCAGGTCAGTGTGCTAGCCCCTGGAGTCCTGCCACTGGCTTCTCATTGTGGGGTCTACTGCAGAGAAGAGCACAGGGGGCCCTCGTCCTGGACTGCCTCAGTTCCCTCTGCATTCCTTCCCAGCATCAGCCTTGAGGCTCCCAGCTGTTCCCTGCCCGCCCCTTGGGCTCAGGTTACTGGCTTGCCCACTCACGGCTGCCAGGAGGGCTGGAGAACAGGGGCCCGGACGTGTCTGACTCCAGGGCCCCCGCCCTGTCCTTCACTGTGTT